CTCCTTTCTTGTGTTTCACAAATGATCCCCAGTACAAACAATCAAATCAGCAGACTAGAATCAAGGCAATGTATTCTGTGAATCCCTAGTACTGGAATACCTTGAGCATTCCAACTGGAGGGTCATTGAAGTCGATTGTGAGCAGCCTCTGCCAGAGCCCATTCAATTGTGCTAGAACTGACTTACCCATGCAGCCATGTCCAAACCCCCAAACTCTCAGCTCAAGGTAACATTCAGGGAACATTTCAGACAGTGCTGGTAGCCAGTGACTCACACTTATTGTACTAAATGCTAAACTGTGACTCAGAGTGAATCCATTAACTGCTGAATGGCACTGGGCTTACTTGAATAGATGCTCACATTGTGAGTCACCTGCTGTGTCCCAAAAACCATCCTTCAGAATTCCACTTGGACAGTGATTCACACGATAATGGCACTGTGACCTGACTTGACTAACGCATGTCATTTCAAAATTCTTTTCTGTGGAACTGACATGGGAGCACGCTGGAAAGTCACCCCTGCTCAGTGCTAAGAATGTGTAGGCTTCCTAAGACGCAAAGTCAAGGGCAACATTCAGCCTGCACAACAGAAAGAACCATAGTTTCCTTCTTCAAGGGTGTAGGCACGATTCCTAGAAATACCTTCCCCAGAAATCACCCTGTTCCTTAAAATAACTTTGTGAGAGAAGACACCACCATGAAGTTGCTCAGCTGTTCCTGTGAGGGCTGCTGCTTTATGCTGACCTCCACACCCCCTCACAGATAGTGAATGTGACTTCAGAGAAATACAGACAAGAACGCACAAGTGGGAACACACAGTGGAATTTTAAGAACCGACATTCCACATCACTAGCTAAGTTCCTACACTCAAACAGGCAAGGTTTTCTCTTTCACTCGCTAGTCCACAAAATGGGGAAGAATTCAAAATGTCCTGTGTAATTGTAAAGGCTTTGCCTAAAAAGCTTTCTCATGGGAATGATCTTCAGACATCTGCTTGTCCTGTGACCTCTGTGATCATGTCTTTACAATACCAAGTACCAACTTAGTGTTGAAGCTAACACATACTTTATGTTTTTTCGTTTACATGCACCCTAGTCTCTTGTTTGTGAAAGGAGTCACAAATCTTCAGTGCCATTTGTGAGAGCTATGAGAAAAGAGTAAGAATTCTAACCTCCCTACAGCCCCCATACCTGAAAACCTCAACTCTCTGAATGTTTCCTTGCTTATAAAATGAAGAAGCTAGAGTAAGTAACTGGGTTATCATAATCCTAAATTTTCATAGCTTTTGGAGTGACTTCTTAGAATTCTCAGAAAAGTTAACCTGTCTAGTTCCTACAGTAAGTCTCCAAACCTTCTTAAATAAAAGACTAAGTACCTTATTTCAGTGACAATATTGGATATTTTGTAAATACCATGATTTACTGTGTAATTTTTAAATGTGTGTTTAGCAAACTCTCTTTCTGTTTTCTTGAGGCCAGGCCTCATGTAGCCTAGGCTGGCTCTGAACTTTCTATATAGTTGAGCATGGCTGGATCCTCCTGCCTTCATCTCCTGTGAGCTGGGATTACCTGCATGGATACCAGTGGTTTACTTGGTGCTGGGGCTTTGTGCATTTAGGCAAGTGCTCTATCAACTGAGATATTTCCAGCCCCCATAAACTCAACTCTTTAAAATATTTATTACTACCATTTTCTTTTTGTATGTAGTATATGGGAGGGGTGCTCAAGATAATGGCCCACGTGGAGGTCATAGGACAAGTCTGTGCAATCAGTTCTCTCCTTTCCGCCTTTATGTGTGTTCTTGGAATCCTGGGTTTAAACTCAGGTCCTCAGGCTTGCATAGTAAGTGCCTTTAATTGCTCTAACATCTCATCAAACCCAATTCTTTTTTACTTATTAATTTAAATTAGAAACAAGTTTGTTTCACATGTCAATCCCAGCTCCCTCTCCCTCCCCTCCACCCCTATCCCTCCCCACAAGGCCCCCCAACCCCCACCCAATCCCCATTCCATTCCCCAGGGAGGGTCGGACCCTCCATGGGGGATCTCCAGAGTCTGTCATTTCTTTCAGGGCAGGGCCTAGGCCTTCCCCCCCCAAGAGTCTAGGCTGAGAGAGCATCCCTCATTGTGGGATAGGCACACAAAGTCCATTTGTATGACAGGGATAAATACTGATCTACTACCCAAGGTCCCATAGACTGCCTAGGCATCCTCATTGACACCCACATTCAGGGGGTCTGCATCAGTCCCATGCTGGCCTCCTAGTCATCAGTCTGGGTTTCTAGAGCTCCCCCCTTGTTCAGGTCAGCTGTTTCTGTGCCAAACCCAAATCTTTTTAAAGAATAAACTCCTCTTAAAATGCTGTTTGATGCTTATATGAAAATATATCATAATTATTCATAACGAAAGAGTCCATGTGATAAAAATGAATTGTATTTAAATTTAAATATCGAGAGAAAACATTTACTGCTTCATGATTTTGACAATCAACACCCATTTTAGTGTGTAAAACATACTCTTTATATCACATGAACATAGACCTCATGTTCCTGATCTTTATGTCTCTCTGTCTCTCTCTTTTATTTTATTTTTTGAGACATGACAAAATGTTGCTCTCTTGATCTCAAAGCTTAACTTTTTCTTCCTTAGCTTTGAGGAGTTGGGGCTAGTGATTCATGTATATGTATACCTTCATGTCTTTAGATTTTTTAACTCCACTAAGTCAATGTAGCATCAATACAGCAATAGTATGAATAACTTTTAACAATACTTCTCTTTTATTTTATGACTCTGTATGTGGGAACACCACAAGTGTACCCAGTGCCTGCTGAGGCAAGAGGGTACTGGATCCCCCAGAACTAGGGTTACAAGTTGTTGGGAGCAGCCAGCACTGGTGCTGGGAGCTGAACTCTACACGAGCTGCAGCATATTCTCTTAAACTGTGCCATCTCTCTAGCCCTATGACTGGTTTTTGCATAGCATGAGCTCAGAAATTGTACTGTATTAATTTATCAAAGGTAGGCCACTCCTCCTTTTGCAGATGATAAACTAAAGCACAGAGAGATGAAGTAACCACTTAAAGTCACACAGCTTGGTTGGGATTTGAGACCACAGTAACAGATTGAAGGAAAGGCTCTTCACGTCGTAACGTTTGCTGATTTAAGTTATAAAAGATGCACATTAACAAACAGAAGATAAATGGGATGAAGCCTACAAAAGCTAGTTAATAAAAACAGTAAGTAGTGTGTATTCAGATTGTTCCAAAGCACTTAAAGGTAAGTGTCATTTTAGCACAAATGTTCTTGAGGAAGTCAGGCAGTTCAGTGAATGTGGACCTTTGTTTAGTAAAGGAGGCAAATGAAAGAAAGCCTTTAGCAAACCTTGTCATCAGTGTCCCTGAAGAAGGGTACAGACTGGCCAAGCAGAGGTGGTGGTAGGAAGTGATTGATGCTGGAGCTCCCCACTTCCCACATTTCTGGAGTTATCTGGAACCCCATAACCCCGGAGCATTTCTGCTAGCTAGTGGGTTAGGGGCTATCGCCAGCATCCAGAGCACTGACTGCTGTGGCGACTGGCCTCCAGGCCCATCCGGACAGCTATCTGGCTGTGAAGCCAGGAACCCCAAGAGAGTGGTAGGCCTTCACAAAAGTCTATGGAAGGAAGAGAGATTTCCCTTCCCTCAACATCCTTCAGGACAGAAATCCTGCACCACTACCTTCTACGCGCTGTGGCGCTGTTCACCATCTGGGGACGCAGAGGCAACAGATGCTCCCTCTGGAATCCCCCAAGCTGGGTCCCAAACACCTTCATCCCGCGTCCATCAGCCGCTGGGCTGTGTGAGTCACTAGCTGCTCTCACCCAGGGTTTCCTTGCTTCTTGTCGAATGCAGGAAGCTCCCAACCTATCCCAGCCCCCTAGAGCCACCTCTCCCGGCGCCCCACCTCCAGACCCGCGTGGGATGGGTGGGTCGCAGCGCCCACACGCTCCTCCCCAACGCCCACCTCCGGTCGCCCACTCCCTGTGTGTGGAAATCCTGAAGTACATTCAAGCCTCTCCCCATACATCCACCCCGACCCGGAGCCACCTCTGCCGGGCCGCTCCCTTACCTACTCTAAGTAAGCAGTGGTTGGGGATATTCACAGGCACCCAAATCTCCGAAAGAGCCCACCCTTGTCCCAGGGAGCTGACTCCCTTGAGGTCCCTAGCCAACACAATTCTTCCAAGGCCCAGGGCACCAGCTTACAAAGAGCTGACTCCCCATCCATCGCTCACCTCGCAGCCTCTCCCTTACCACCCGTACCTCCAGTCTTCGCCGCCTGAGTGGCCCGATTGGTTCCAAAGCTCCTCCGAGTGTGGAGAATCTAGTGCCAGGCCTGCTAAGGAAAAGCCCCCAGCGCCGGTCCCTTAAACAACTACTGTTGTGTCTGCTCAGTTGTCCGGTGCATGCAGACGTCTGGGGTGCGTGCAGACCTCAGACCACTCGGAGTGCAGTCTGAGCTCCCACTTCCCACCCAGATCTGCTGGCTCGCCTGGGCTGCTTCTCTGAAAGGGAGGTGGTGCGTTCCCGGAGTGCCACCTCCTTCCCACCTGCGCTCAAACTGCTCGCATCCGGCTCTCGGCCACGGGCATGTCCTTCCCACAACTCAGTGAGAGCGCTTAGGCTTTCCCAAAATGCTTGGCACGGCCAATATGCACTTTAGACCTTGATTTCTCGTCCCGCACTGAATCTCAGGCCCGGGACCACCTGCTTGGTGGCTCTGATATTTGTTCACGATGATTCGAGCCTTCCTTCAGACACTGTCATGCTTCTAATCCACAACCCACTCGCGATAGGCATTGACTAACCCAGGGGAAGATCACTAACCAGGGCTTTTACCACTGGGCAAGTAGGGACTGACGCCTCAGGGTCCCTCGAGCGAGCCCACCCTCGGGGTTCCTTCCAATGCCGGGTCCAGGGCTTCAGAGAGTCTAAGAGGAAGAAGGGTACAACGCCAGGTTCTTACCAGGCTAGGGTCCACTGGACTAGCCGGAGGGGAAGCGCTGGCCCTCTGGCCTCCGTTGGCCGTGCGCATGCGTCCAGAGTGTGCCTTGGTTTTCTTTCACTAGCAAGCGCGGTTCCTACTCCACCCGCGCTGGCTCCCTGCCTCCCGCCTTTTGCTGCGCGTCTGGGTCTAAGCTCCGGAGTCTTTCTCTCTTCCTCCTCCTTTCCCTTTTCTGACTCCTCTCCACTTCCACGCTCGCTTTCCCAGGCTTGGACACTCCCTCGGCTCGCCTCCTACTGGCGGCGGCGCGCAGCACTCGGAGGCTGGGGGCATTCCGTAGTCCCAAGGCACGCAAGAGGAGCACCTACCTAGGTTCCTCTTTTCCAGTAGCACCGAAAGAGTGGGTGCGATGCGGAAGGAGCTTTGAGGGTTCCCGCAAAGCCCTCTTTTTTTATTCTCTGGCCTTAGCCTGCGCGGGTCTATTCAGAATGAGTGAATGAGTGCTAGGACCTTGTGAATGAAGTGAGGCTGGGGGTTCAGCGCGGGTATGAAGGGGAGGCGTCGTGAGAGGAGCAGATGCTCTGTACCCTGGGGCGTGCCTGTGAACTGCGGCCTCTGCGGAACAATTCCTGCAGACGCCACTCTTCCCGCTGCCCGAGAGCTACCAACCTCTGCTCCCAACTCGTTTGGTGTAGTTCTCTCTCTAGACGGTGGTCTCACCTGGTTCAGGTCAGCCAGAGTCGGATGGTCCCACCTGGCGACTGGGATGGCGGGACAACCTAAGCCTGGACTCGGGTCTCACGCAGTCTCTCTGACGCCCTTTTTCCCCTTAGGACTTAGAGAAGGGAGGAGAAGCCCTGTGCGGCCGCGCCACCTGACTCCTAGCTCTGAAGACTCCCAGCGCCCAGGTCCCGCGGCTCTCAGAGTAAACCTTGGGGTGCGCCCCTGGGGCAGTACGCCTGAGCTCCGAGGGCTAAATTAAAGCAGCAAAGTAACCTGACACAAAAATAACCCCACGTCATTTCCTCCCTCTCTTGCAGAGAGGGCAGAGCAGTTCGAACGTCAACTCAACCGCGGGCGGTGGCGAAGCGCTGGGATGTTCTACGAGCCAGGCTGGGGGAAGGAGCTGCAAAGATTCTCGGAGGCGTCAGAGGGCTTCCTCCCGCTTCTAGGAACTGCATACAGGGAATGAATGGCTTGGGAGAAAGCAGCTTCTGGTGCCTCCGCGGATGTGGGAGTGTCAGGGAGCCCAGTGTGTCCAGTTTTGTGCCGACTGGGTTGAGTCAGTCGGTGTTAGAACGAGTGGGAAAGGCTGGGGCCACGGGAGACCGAGGATGAGTTTGGTGGAGTCCCCAGTACTCACGGACTCTGGCGAACTCCTCCCGGAGCAGGGGTCCTCTTCTCTGGACTCTGGATTTGGAGTTGTCAGTTTCAGACGACGACCCCTCGGAGTTCGGCCTGGCATTGAGGCCGCGAGTAGGAGCAGGAGGCGGCGGGGTCGTGGAGAGCGCCAGAAGGCGGGCCAGGCAGGAAGCTGAGGGGAGAAATCCCAGAGTCGCGGGCTAGCCACAGGAAGAGGACGCCGCAGAAGACCCGAGAAGAATCGCATGAAGCTGCAGGACAGACGAGAAAGGTGGTGGAGCTCCTGACGGCGGGAGAGTCTGGGAGCAAGGCGAGCGGCGGGAAGGGTGTGGGCAAAAGAGAGAAACAAACCCAACACATTAGGCTCTTGTCCAGTCAACTACTTGAGGCCCCTTGATGAAGCATTTTGAGAATTTACTTTGGGGGTGTAAGAAAGCTTGGTGAAAGCAACACAGAAAGTGCGAGGTCAGAGTCTCCCTTCACTTCTCTTTAAAATGATGCGGTTCTACGCTGTGGCCCCTGGACCAGCAGCTGTTGCCAATACGCAGAGGCTCCATAGCAAAGCAAAACTTGAGTCCCTACCCCAGCCTAGTTCATGTACATTAAACGTGGCATACCTGTGTAAGAAGGTTTACGTTCACAGATAATTTCTGCAATTCTTCCCCTTCCATCATCGGAATCCTTCTCGATGTGTCCTTTCCCAATAAATCATTACCTACCCGAGACAGTGATACACTTGGTCACCTGGTCCTACTGGAGTTGCTATTAAGTGAGACCTGGATGGTAGATGCAGGTGACTGGAGAATGCCAGACCCGCCTTAGGCTTTGGGGAGAAAGCTAGCTAGCCTACTGGCCTCAGTGTTCAGCAGAGTGGAGGAGACCAGGGTTCGCTTTTGTAAGCATTTCTACTGCAGGCCTCTTTTCTGATCTCCATTTGTACAGCTTATTCTCAGAGTTCTTATACTTTCTATGTGTTCCTAGGAGACTTAGGCATTAAGGGAGGGTGAAAGTAAACATGTTTGGGGGGGGGGGAGTTAAAAATAGCATTCTTGGGCATGTTTAGTATAGCAGTCAGGAGCACAGGGTCCTAGAAATAGCTTTCCCACCAACAACCCCCAACTGTGGAATGGATTGTAACTTTACAGTTTATCTACTTCTTTCATAAAATGAAAGAATGAAGTTAGTATTTTAAAAGAACCTTTAGCTGGGAGTGGTGACACATGACTCTAATCCCAGCACTTGAGCAGGCAGATCTCTGTGAGTTCAAGGCCAGCCTGGTCTACAGAATGAGTTCCAGTACAACCAGGGCTATGTAGAAAGTACAGAGAGACCTTAGTTTGTTTTAAAGAATCTTTAAACTTTAATGCGTCTAGCCTGAGTGTAGGATGCACAGCAGCTAAGGCTGGGAATGTAGCTCACCTGGTAGGTTGCTTTCCTAACATGCTTACCTAGGCCTGGCTTCAGCATAGCAAAACTGCCCATATGTCAGTAATCTCAGCACTGGGGAGGTGGGGAGGCAGGTGGGGGTACCATCGTCCATCATCCTCGACTTAGTGAATTTGGGGTCAACTCAAGGTTCTTGAGAATCTGTTTCAAACAAGAGGAGGAAGGAGTGGAAGAAGGAGGGGCAGCAGAGAGGAGAGAGGAAGGAAAGAAAGAGAAAATACACAGATTGCCAAAAGAGCTACTTCTAAAAAAGTTTTATTGCTTTTAAAAAGTTGGATTTTTTTGTTTGTTTGTTTCTTTGTTGTTGTTGTTGAGACAAGGCCTTGCTGAGTAGCTCAGGTCAGTCTTAAACTCCATTCTGACCTCAGTTTCCTGGATATGAGGAGTGCCACCCTGTGCCTTGGTGCTGTTTGAAGTCCACTTGCTTTAGGCTTCTATCTTTAAGTCCTTCTTAGCTTCTTGGGCACTAATATTTAGTGTAGTTACAAACCGATCTAACTCTGCCAATCCAAACACTTCCCTCAAGCAAAACACAAAAACATTTCAATCTGTCTGTGAAAAAAAAAAAGAATAGTGGTTGCCAAGAAAAATGAAAGTGGAGGCGGGAGCAGCGAATAAAAGTGACAGTGTGTTGGGGCTCCCTTGGGGTGAGCGCCAGGGACAGCTGGGCTCAGGTCCCAGGGGCGAGGCGCGGGCGCTCTCCAGGGTCCTGAAGGCGGGAGCGGGCCCCGGGCACTCCCGGGCCTGGCTGAATTCCCGGAATCGCTAGTCACCCGGCCTGTTTTCTTTTGTTGGTGGGAAGCCTTGTGGGAAGGGTTTGTCGGGCGATGGGGGTGGGGCAGGGAAACCTAGCAACCCATTCTCATTCATGAGGCCTTTTCTGGGAAGCCGCCTAGCCCTGTCTGATTTGTCTCTTCGTTTGTATGCGTGGTAGAGAGTTGATCTGAGTTGATTTCCGCTTAAGTACACACAGTGTTGCTTTCCTTCACTACCGTTTTGTGGGGGAATGGGGTCATTCTAGAATTTTCAGTCTCCAGATTCATAGGCCCCCGCGCCGGCCTTCTGCATGATGCATTTTCTTTTGCGGATGGGATTATGAGCACTGGAAGTTTCTGGAGAAATACCAACAGCTTACTTGTGGAGGGCAAATGAGCTATTTGGAAAACTCAGATCTACCATCTCACCCAGAGATCGAGGATTGCCTTGCCCTGAGAGGGGCAGCGGACATCCTCCCTCCCTCCTGTCCTCTCTCTCTCTCTCTCTCTCTCTCTCTCTCTCTCTCTCTCTCTCTCTCTCTCTCTCTCTCTCTCTCTCTCTCTGTGTGTGTGTGTGTTTTGATGGGAGGGGGATTGTTCAATGCATGCCAACATACTTGGCAGAACTGAGGAGCCGGGCCTGGGTGTTTCTTATGGGCGCAGCTACCCGGACCACATCGGGCCACACCTGCTCCCACCTCCTGAGCCCCAGGTGTAGAGTGGCCACAGGGCAGTCCCAGAACCCTTCGCCAGCCTGTGCAGGACGTCAGAAGCTGGGTGAAGCTATGAAGTTAAAACAGGACTGGCTCCTTCCCAGCGACCTACACCAAGGCCGTGCCCAGCCTTAACCATTGCAACTCGCCCACGCACCAGGAAAGTTAGAATGCAGTCAAAACGCTGGCAGCACTCGGCACACTTCCGAGACTGTTTGTGCTGCCTCCATGGGGCCTGAAAAAGTTTAGGGCCTTTTGTAGACCCCATCGTTTGTGAAAACCCGACCCCCCTTTCCTCCCCCTATGCCCAGCCAGTCTTCCCCAATCTCTCAAGCCCCTTTCCTGGGTATGCTTCATTAGGCATTTTGCTCCGGTCCTCTGCTTCAACACAAAGGCTCTTTTGAGGGAGCTGTGGAAGTGTTTGGCCAGAATAAAAGTCCTAGCAGATCCCAGAGAAACAAAGTTTGTACTCATTTACTCATCTGGAGACACTCACCGTTTGGATTCCCTAGACTAGCCTGCCCACCAGTTCTGGCCTAAAAGCCTCTTGCTCTGGGACCCCAGGTGTGGGTATGGTGGGTATGGGTGGTAGTGATCTGTAGGCTCCAACAGCAAGAACAGAGCCACGGAATATTGATGCAGCCACAAAATTCGATCTTTGAAAAGCTATCTCAGAAAAGACCTCAGCTGTATGCCTATGCCCCACACCCGACTCTCTACTCCTGTATACTGCAGAGGGCCCCCTGTCTGCCCTCCCTGCAATGCAGAGACCCCCACTGTAGGGAAAAGGGACCAGTCAAAGAAACACACCCTGAGCAGAGCCAAAGAAACACACTTTGGCCCTGCAACCACAACCAAAGAAATGTACCCTGACCCTAAAACCAGTGCCAAAGGAACACACTTTGTCCCTGGAATCAGTCAGTGAAAGAAATGTACCCTGGCCCTAAAATTGGAGCCAAAAGGCTAAAAAGGACCAGAGAAAGAAACACACTTTGGCCCTGAAACCAGAGCCAAATCGGACCCTAATCCTGTGTAAAAAAGTAACCAATCTGGAAGCAGAGCTCTAGCCAATCTGAGCTCAGCACTGAAATCGGACCAATCCCTACTCTGGAAAATCTTCCCCCAACCCCAAGAATATAAACCCTGTGTATGTTCAGCTTGGCTGGTCCAGCTGCCTTCCAATAAACCCCTTTGGATGAGCTTCGGGTGAAGATCTTCTTTTGTGGCAGCGACAGAACAGAGGCAACCCTGGGCAGAGCAGAGCAGAGCAAGTAGAGGCGACCCTGGGCAGAGCAGAGCAGAGCAGAGTGAGCAGCACTGTAACACTTGCCCGGGGAAACCTTCCTTGGCAGAGCAGAGTTGTTACACTCCGGCTCTCCGCTCTCCAGGAGCAGAGCTGAACTGTAGCAACTTCGCCCGAGAAACCTCCTGCCTAGCAAAACTGCTACTCTAGGCGAACATCCCCAGCTGGAAGACCCTGTCCTGCAGGAGCGGAGCTGATACACCGGAGAAGCCTTTCTCTGAGGCAAGGCTGTTAAGCTGCCAAGCTTACTGCAACCTGTGGTGGTCCTTGGCTCCCGAGCTCCAGGATACCTTTCCACCTGAGCTGTGTAACACTGAGTATTCTGTGGCTCCCGAGTGCCAGAATACCTGACCCACTCCTGTTGCATCCTGTCCTGACCCATCCAGAAACACTTACACCCACTCCGGCCGCACTGCAAAGGCCCCTGTCTGCCTTTTCATCTAGATCCTAAGAGTCAGTCTGAGGTGTAGGTAACATTAGTCACAAAGTGGGATCACCATGCAATCCTTACTCCTGAAAGCACAGACCATTTAGAGGCTCTATGCTGATTGACTATTGACTTGCCTAATTAATCATATTGCCTGCTGAAGATCATCAAAATGACTTTCTGCAAAGTAGACAAGACAGACTTAAATCAATGTAAACAGTACTTTCTTACTTCCCAGGCAAACTGAGGTTCTTTGCATTTAAAATAAAAAGCACTCACAAAGGTAATATCCAATGCAAATTAAACTACCCCTTTCCCAAAATAGGCTAATCACAGTTAAGACAGAGTTTGAAATTAGCTTTAAATTTATGAAGTGGTCTATTTTTTTTTACAAAACTTTATGTTTAAAATTCTATTTTGCCGTGGCATAGCCATGTTGCATTTTTAAAATTTCTGCTATTGGAAACACGAAGATCATCCTTCTTCTAGGACCCAAGGGTCCAGTAGACAGCAATCAAGAAGTAAAAAGGCATAGATTTCCTGCACTGATATAATTGGGCAGATAGGGAGGTGATGCTTGAAATAAATAATAGAGCCATAGATTATTATTAATTCAAGGACCACTCAAGTATTAATAACATACTTGTATTTGCATTTATTTAAAATCTCCATGTTATCTCTGGAAACACAATGGTTTTAAACAATATTTCTACAACTCATAATTAGTTTTGACTTCACATATTATTTAATGACTTTTGAAATGTATTTATACCTAAGGCCTGTGTGGAGAAGTTGTAGAGACATTGTATAATGGGAATAGTGATGATGAGGAAGGAGAGGCTGAGGACAGAGTAAAATGAGGCAGAAGTGAGTTACTTAGGGGCCAATTAAGTTGGGACAGACAACACTCAGAACTAGCTGGGCCCATCTGCAGCATTAGTTACAATAAAAGGGCTTAGGAGAAAAAAAAGGGCCTTTGCGTATTTTTCATATCTTTTATGGCTTGAATGTGCCACCCCAAACTATATGTGCTAGTAATTTGGCATCCAGTAAACTAGTGTTCAGAGATGGGAACTTCA